GCTGGAGATTTTGGAGGTGCGTTGTTCCCTGGCCTTGAGACCGCATGTTTCTTGGCTCTCCTAGGGGTCGTTATGTCACCAGCCGTATGTTTCCTAATTTTAGGATCCGGCTGAGAGGAGGAGGAAGGCTTCACTAAGTTGCCCTGCAACAATAACAACAATAAGTAAGAAGCAGACGACAGAAAAGCCAAATGAGACTTGTTCAAAGTCGAAAGAAGCTCCCCTTGGGCGCTTGCAAAGCAGGCGATTAACTCTTCATATTACCGCTTGCCCAAGATGGCGGAGCGGTACTAGGAAGCAGCTTTCTTCGAGGCGGAGAGCTTTTCCATAGATTTGTCTGCAAAAGATGAATCAAGGAGTTAGTTTGACACAAAATTAATCAAGTTTTACAAATACACTTGAACAGGCGGTCAGCTACCTCTTGGCATCTCTTCACTAAGGCCACAGGCGGCCAGATATGTCCCATCTTATTACCAGTGGGAATATAATTTTGAGGAATGAACTCCCTCGCCCCAGTCTTGAGGTTCGCCTGGATATCTACTTTGAAGAGCCCTCTATCAAGGATCTCTTCTTTTGTTTTACGAGGAATAGGCGGCAGCTTAGAATCGCCTGTAAGGAAAGGTGGGTTCATGTTCCACCTGTTGAACTTTTTGTTCTTGACTATGTCAGGGCTGGAGACATTGTAGAAAGTGTTCCTCCAATCTTTTCACTTGTTCTCCTTCCCCACAGTCATCATAAAGCCCTTGTGGCTAGACAACTGGTACCAGCTAGTCCCGCTTGTTTTTGGGGTCCGCTGGGGTAATGCATGTGGGCGAATGCTTCAAAGCTGGGGTCTACTTGATGCATTTCATAGCCGACAACATAGCCTAATATGTTAAACCAAGAGTTTTGGGTCCAGGATTCGCTTCATAGCCAGTTGTAGAGGAAATCTTAGGCTTGCCTTAATGGCCGCCTCATAGAAGCCAAATCATGTGTCCTAGTAGCTGGACTTCTCGGGCCAAACTACAGTGTCCTCGGCATCCGGCGTACATAGGACAAAACCATGCCCCATGACATGGTTAGCTCTGAAGCTCCCAATTTTTTCCGCCATCATTTGTCTCCTGCCTGCGAGAACATGATGATAGTATGCGGCATATTGCTCTCGGCTGGTAGTAGACGGCTCCGCCCAATCTGCTCCCAATTCGACTAAGAGGGACTCTCTCGCGGTCTCTAACCGAGAGTGCCTCTCTTCAGGTTCATCTGAGAATTTGCCAGAAGTACTTGGCTCAGAGTCACTGTCTGAGCTCTCGGACCTGGTGTTTGCTTGATGGGCTAGATCAACAAAGCCCGGCATGTCATTTTGAACTTCCTCCCCTAATTTTTCTAAAACGGAATCACTAGGAGTGCTAGGTGCACCAGGCAGCACGTCAGATAATTTACTGACAGGCGCATAGAAGGAAGAGTCATCTGAATTTGTCACCCTTGCAATTCTCTTAGTTCTTGCCATGGTGTCCTGCGCGAACACATAGACAGTCGGACTTGGGGCAGTTCGCAAAGGGTGATCGAGCAAGGGGCAGTCGACAATTGACAAGCGCACATTAGGGCGCGCTTTAAGGCATATAAATGGGTAATTTTGGATGTATTTAGGCCCGTTTTGGTCGTTTATTGCCTTGTTACTCTCGTTTCCTTCATATTACGTGCTTCACGGGTTTCGGTCTGTTTTTGGTGTGTTAATAGGTATAGTTGACCAAGTTATGTCGAGTCCCGAATCATTGGTGCGTAATCAGGCTATTATCGATCCTAGTTCACCAATCTAAGCTTTGCTGCGGTTCTCAAGGCCTTGAAAGGCAAGTTAAGTAGCAGGCAAGGCAGAACAGTTCACAAATATGACACATGTTCACTATTTTGCTCATAACTTTCTATATATAAATGATAATGGAGTGATTCTAATTGCATTGGAAAGTAGACTTGAAGTGCTTTCAAACGATATATTGCACGCTTTAAACGGAGCTCTGGATAAGAAGTTGTGACTGTTTTAAGAAGGCCAAAGTGCCTGCAACCTTCCTGCCTATGCTTGCACGGCCGTGCCAGATTCAGCACGGCCGTGCCAAAATTGAAGATATTGCGGATCAGCTACTGCCATGTTTGCACGGTCGTGCCACTTCTAGCACGGCCGTGCTAATTTACGAAGGGCAGCCTGCGATTTACTTTCCTATTTAAAACACTTATATATAGCCCGATTGTAAGGGTTAAGGGAGACAGATTTTGAGACAGATTTAGGGACGTATTTTTCAGAAAGACTTTGTAGAGAGGTAGAGAGCACTTCTGTAGTTGAGATTCCATAGATTTGATCTAGTTAATCGTAGTTTTCCGGATTGATTCGAAGCAAGATTCGTTGGGATTCTTTGTATTATTCATTGACATCGGATATCAAAGTTCCAAACTTTGTCATTGATTCGCATCAATAAAATTGGTATTATTCATTCTTATTTATTAATCAAGCTTTATTATTCCTTAACCAGAATTCATGTTTAGATCTATTATGCTTTTGGAATTCATTATTGCTTTGATTATGAATATGTGTAAGTAGTCTCCTAGCTAGGGTTTCGGGATGAAACCCGGCCTAGGTAATCTATGTAATTGAGGGTTGATTTTGATAAACGGATTGTGATTAAATTGATTATATGCGATTGCATGTTAATTCATTATAATAGGAGTAGCTAACCTAGAATCTTGAATTTGATTGCATGATATTCTTGATTTGAACAAGAGATTGTGAATTGAGTATTTCATTGTTGAATGTGGTTTGATTATGTATCGAGTAATGTTAAGTGCATGAGAAATCCAAGCTTAGTATTGCCCGTTGTCTTCCTACCACATGATATTGATCGGAAATGTAGTCTTTGCATATCCCGTTTGTCTCTGTGATTCCTTGTTGCTTAGTTACCAATGGTTAGTCGGATTCCCGTTCTCCCTAGTGTCTTAGTTTATTGATTATTTCATCTTATTAGTAGTATTTTAGAACACCATCTTCCATTGATTTCGAACTAGCTTAGGTTTTAGGATTGATTAGCAGTTACTCTCGTTCTTCGTGGACCGAACCTTTATTTTCCATTATACCGGTTATAGGGTGTTCGTATAAGTATTGTTTGATTAAGAGTTAGATTGTAGCGACCGATTTAACCCTTGTTAGCAATCCTAGTTCTAGATTCAGCTGTCCCCAGTGACCGGATGATCATTAACCTAGGTCGTGCCGTGTGATTTTGGGAAACCATTTTCAAAAAGAAAAAGAAACAAAGAGAAAGTACGAAAGAAAAATAAGCGGTTACCTTTAGTTTGTGAAGATGAAGGTGCTTGAAAAATCTGCACCGGCTGTAGGTGCAGGCGGCCGTCGTTCTTTCTCAGAGAAGGACAAAGTTCTCAAAAGTTTTGTCTGGAATTTTTGGAAATATCCAAATAAATTATTTGGACATCCCCTATTTATAGTGGGGTGAATTTCAAGGGTCAGTAAGAAAAAAAAAATAAATAAATGGTAAAAACCGTTGGCCAATCAGGATGTGACATCTTTCACATGCGCCACGTGGCAAGCCACGTCACCCCCGTGAGGGGCAAATGATTAGGGAATTTTTTTCCCGCCACGTGGACCAATTAAATTATGTCATGTGTCATCCACATGGACCAACCAGGGTCCGCCACGTGTCACCTCATGAGAGGTCCAAGGTGAACCAATCAGACTACGATACGTGGCAGACATATAGCCAACTAGGAAAGTGGCTTTTAACGACCCAAATACCTAGGCAAGCCCATTCAGTCCTAGGTTTCTGAAAACCTAGTAGTGGGCACACATTTCAAGACCCTATAAAAGGGAAATGTTCCCCCCAGAGGAACATGGTTCATACAATATTAAACACAGATGTACATTAATTGCTGAGCATTAACACTAGCTTTAATTACATTGCTTGAGAGCTAAGGCTCAGATTTCGAGGTTATCTCAGATAACCGAATGATCACTTCTCTTCTGAGAGGAACCTGATCCCCTTTACTTTCCGCTCTTTATACATCCGTACACGTTCTAATTTGATCGTCGGAGACGAAACTCCCACCCACAGGAGTCTCCGTTGTTTTGCAGGTACAGGCATTCAGAGGTCAATCCTAGTGTTGTAACTCTCCCGCAGGACATCCAAAAAACCCCGAAACAGGTTGGACAATAGCCATACATTACTCCGCCTTATAATATATTTCTCGACTCTTTTTGGCTGATACTCTTCGACTTTTAACAGTATTTAAAAACTTTTGGTTAGACTTAGTTTTGTGATTACAGTTATAGCTATGGTAGTACGTAAGAATAATCAGACAATATAACTTTATCAACTAAGGAGCAATAATATATATTTTTCATATACGAAAATATACTTCGTCACTACGTGAATATTAAGGCTGGCAAATGTTACTTGCTTAATTAATTGGTATCAAACATGAATTACTTCCGAAAGCTTAAAGTTAAGCCGCATAGGTTACGTTGCATTACTTTTACTTGAGGTAAACTACTCATCAATAATGTTTTTCCTTCATAATCACTTGCCGCAAAGACCAGTTGCCTCAGCTCTCAAGTACTTATGGTGGTGAGGTTGATATAAAACTATCTCCATGTTTCCAACCTTACCCTTCTCCGCTTAAGTAGGTAAGTTATTTGTGAATATTGCTATGTACATAAACATGAACCAAACTTTGTATCCTACAATTATAATGTTTCAATAGTTAGGTTGTTTACCTCTTTTCATCAAGTTAGAAGTTAGAAATTAGTCAAAATCAAGACATAAATAGTAGTAGTACAATATTGGTATTTCCTTGTATGATAGGAGTAATATATACCACACGCTGCTAACCAAAACGATAAATGTAGGGTCATCATACCAAAAACAAGCCAAAAGACAGGCTGTGGATTTGCTGTTTCACAAAAATTCATCCGATGCTTGAGACTGACCCTTACGTTTCTCCTAGCTAAGTATTTCTTACTTGTATAAATATTACAATTCCACACAATATATTACTCCCAACAAATCACAAAGATTTAAAATTAATTGTGTATAAAAAAAATGAAGATTGTTATAGCAACTCTGCTGATTCTCACTCTTGTTGCCGCCACATTTGTGGATACTACAATAGCAGGCTCTGGTAAAACACTAAAACTTATTCATCATATACAATTATAAATTGTCTATATTGACGTAGTCCTGCATGCGGCCAGTCTTTTTCTATTTTCTTTGTTACTGTATGTATATATATATATATATATATATATATATATATATATATATATATATATATATATATATATATATTGGTGTCGAAACAAATGTTATTATATTTCTTTGTTATAATATATCTATGCATGACATGAATTTTGTGTGTTTCAAACTCTTTAAATTTTTTGTCTTTTCTTAATGGTATTTTAAAATAAAATTTCTTTGAGTGGTAATATCATTAGGTGGGTTTTTTGTAATTGGTAAAGTATATAATTTCCTAATATAATACTCAGTAGTCCTATAAATTAATTCATAAACATTAACAATATATTGAATGCGTTATAATGTTGTACAAGTTCTTTTAATTAAATATTTTGTTTCAATATTCTAATACAAAGTGTATTTTTAAACTATGTATAGAGTAATTTAAAACAAAACATTGGTATATGATTTTAAATTGAAGAATTAGATTTATATTAGATGGTTTAGTGAGCACTACAGAAATCGATCTTGGTCCTTATACGATTTAATAATCTAGGACACCCTCCATTCTTAATAAGTGCGTTACCATAATAATTGTATTATTTAATTTAATATGATAAAAATAGAAATATACTCCGTATTTATTTTTTAACTTTTTTTTTTGTTTTTGGCTTTTACTAACCCCATATCATAAATTTTGTTACCTTAACTTTCATTCAAAAAAATAAAAAAAAAAATCCCAATACAAACTAACTTTTATCAATGTTTTATTTCTCAACATATAGTGCATTTGAACATTAATACGATATTCACGTTTGTTTATTTGCCATAGTGTTATTTCATTCTCTCTTTGGTCAACAAAAAAAAAAATAAAAAATAAAAAATTTCCACATGTTTTTTAAGTAGCTGGTCATATCGTGTGATCAGTGGCTAAAACTAACCGAGTAAACTCTGACCGATTAACCCTTAAACGACCAAATAACCCCTAACCAAGTAACTTGACCACACGGTGTGGTCAGCCATGTATGAAATATTTTAGCCTTTTATTGTAATCATCTACTATTTAATATTGTCATTCTTTACTAACACAAATTCTTATATGTGGTTGGCCAGACGGTGTGGCAAGCCATCATGAGGGTTATTTCGTTAGTGTTATAGGAGTTACTCATTCAGTGTTACGACAGAGGTTTATTGGTTAGCATTTTACGGATTACTCAATTAGTGTTGTGAGGATTACTCGGTCAATATTACAAAAGTTACTTGGTCATGTTATAGGGGTTTTCTTGTTTTTTTACAAGTGGTGATATGATATGATGAGACACACTCTAAACGAGCCACTTTACTAATGACTAAAAACTTGAAAATTGTGCTTAATAGTTGCAACTACTTAAATACTTCCCTTATTAATTATTTAAATTAATTTAATCATCTTAATTGTACAATCATCATATATTAAACCTTCACTTCTCTAAATCATTTCTCACTAATGATGAGCCCCTCTCCACATATAAACACTCTCTCCTACGATTAAGAAAAGTCAGCAACAGAGCTAGGTTAATATATGTATTTTCGTTTCCCAAAGAGAAATTGCCATAGTACAGGTTACCGATGAGAATTCTTGTAATAATGTTTGTAATAGTGTCAGCCAGGTTATACCTGAATTTTTTTTTTTCTAATCTTAAATTATTTTTACTATGATAAAATAATATTTATTAAACTGTAATTAATTTTACTTAATTGAATTTTTTCTTACATATTTTTCTATTATATTTTGTCTAAAATAACTAATTTTTATTAAAATGAAATTATTTTTACTAAACTGAAATTATTATTATTGATATTATATTTCTAAGGTGAAGTGAACAACAAAACAAGGGCTTAGAGGAGCATATGTACTTGTTTTGTTATGTTAGACAAAATAATTTAATATTTTGTCTGAATAGATAGATAGCAGGAAAACAAGAGCATGCACTGGGCAAGGGGAACGAGGTATTGAACACGAATTAATAAAGAAGCTCCATTTTTACTTGAATGGTCCTTTGTTTCATAATTAGTTATAACAATACCTAAAGGATTGAACTAGCACGAATTTTTAATAATAAAAAGTAAAAGGATGGGTTTTGGAAAGAGAGAAAAAAAAAAAAAAAACATTTAAGCCATGTTCAATTCACCTTATTTTCATTTATTTCATATGACGTAAATTTAAATAAGTGTAGATAAGTTAAGATAAGCTTGTTGAAAAAAAATTATAATAAGATAAGCTGAAGAAAAAATAAGTTCTCGTAAGGGTTGGCAAGGGTTACAAATTTTCAAATTACATCTAAAATAAGATTAAATAAATTCAGGTAAATTAAGATGAATTCAATTGAGTTAAAAATTGATAAATTATACTCTAATAATCCTAATTATTTGCATTACTAATAGCTAGTCAATGGAAGCGGCTATTTCCTCAAAGAAAAAGTAAATAAATAAAATAAAATAAAAAAGGAAAGGGGTTAGTTTAAATTTTAAGGAAAAAAAATAAAAGGCAGTTGTAGGCTATAAACCCAATTTGGTAAAATAAAAAATATAAGAAAGATATAGTAGTAAATAAAAAACTTTTATATACATCCGATGTAAAGTAACATTAATGTAGATCGGGATAACTTTTATTAAATTTAGCGTAACTTTTAGATTTTGGGTAACTTTTAGCAATAAAGCATAAATAATAAATTTTATTTATATTAGGGTAACTTATATATATGGGTAACTTTTGATCATTTTAAGGTAGCTTTATAGCTTCTATTGTACATCCGATTTTGTAAAATTTTTGTCCTAGTTTGTAATTTGTAATTTATTATGTGAAAACATTTTGAAAAAGAATTGTTGGAATAATTGTTAAATTTCCCAAAATATTATGAGCAATGATATATGTAGCCTTTAGTGCTACAAATAAACAATATATTTTTTAATTAAGTTTTAATTTAGAAACTAATGTATGTCCGGAGAATGCCAGGGATTATTTCTTTGAATAATTGCTGTTGGATAAGCATATTTATTCTTTATTTTCCTATTTATTTATAGTAGTTTTTCATAAAACCTATGGTTTTGAGTGATTTTTTCTCTAGTATGATTGCTTGTGAATTGTATGGTTTTGAGTAATTTATCTCTAATCCTTATCTTTCTTGCGGTTTTATGTCGATTTAGGTTATGATACATATACGTTCTAAAACTATTGATATACATGTTATATTTTATATTGATTTATTGAAAACAAAGAGGTAATTATAAAAAATAATTACACAATTAAAGTTTTATTATATTCCTCACTTCCCTCTTATTGCTTTTCCTATGATTTTTTATATTGCTTATCCTATTACTATAAAATCTTTCCATTTATCCCTCGTTTAATAGGTCTACATAATATAGTATTGTAATTTTTGCATTCTTTTTATTTTGTTCTTTTATTGTACTCCTTTTAAAACACTAACATTTTATTTAGATTGAAGGAATTAAGTAAGGAAAAGAAAAGAAGAGAAGAGTAAAGAAAAGAAAGGAAAATGAAGGGATGATTTATCTTTGATTTGAATAATAACAAGTGAGGAACAAAGGGTATTGAACGGGAGACAAATGGAGGGATGAATTGTAAGATATTGATCTCTCTTAAAATGGATATATTTGAAAGGAAAACTCATGATTATCATTCTTCCCTTTTGTCCCCTCTCCTCCTTTTCCTTTCCTAATCCTTGCCTTCCCCTCCCTTCCCTTCTTTTTCTCCTCAATTATCTATCCAAACACACTCTAAGGTCTCCAATCAATTTAATAATGATATCATTTTGTTTTTTCAAAAATAAAAATGACAACATGTATCCACTACCATATATTTCTTATTCTTTCATTTTATTTGGAGGGAAGGAAATGGAAGGAAAGAGAGGGAAGGGAAATGGAGGGATAAATTATTATTTATTTGAATCGTGCAATAAATTTGGAAAAAAATTGAATTGGAGGGGACGGAGAGAAATGGAGGGATAAAATTATAAGAAATAGATCGCAAACAATGGAGAAATTTAGAAGCAAAACTCTTCATTTTCCCCCCCTCTTCTTTTCCTTCCCAATTATATATCCAAAGACACTATAGGTGAATAACAACTCTACCATACTCTTCTAAAATTGTATCCATGAATTAACGCTTTGTTTGGATAGGAAACAAGGAAAGGAAGGGGAGGGATAGAAGAGGAAGGGAAGAGAGAAGAAAGGGAGGGGGAGGTAGGCTCCATTTTCCTTCAAAATCTCTCCAATTTTGAAGAGATTATGCTTATTAAAGAGAGAGGGAAAATGGATCCCTCCCTTTCCTTTCCCTTCCTTCCCCCAATCCTTTACCCAAACAAGAGAATTTGTCCCCTTTTCTTTCTCTTCCTTTCTTTTCCTTTCATTTCCTTTTATCCAAACAAAGTGAAAATAAATTTTTCATTGGAGTAGGAGGGACAACTACCTTGTCTTCTTTAACCCATCCATAGCTCCTCATACCACGTACAAGACATTCTATAAACGTTGTAGTTAATATCATATCACATTTGTTTGTACGTATAGTATGATCCACTTTTTATTTAATTTTGTGTACGAGTAGCCGAGTATCTATGAGAAGGGATCAACAATTTAAATCTATGAATAAGTCTATTGCTTTTTTTCTTTCCTCGGTCAACAAACATTGATACAAACTATATCCTCCAAAAGACCAAATATATGACTAACATGTTAACTACGAGTAAGTATTGTTTTGATGTTTGATAATGAAATTCTGAATATGGGATATGGTTGGTCAAAACTACAAGTTCTCAGTTGTTTAAAGCATCTTTCATAATTGAACTGTGGAATTTTCTAATATGAAATTTTAATAAGTTTTACCATCCAGAATTTTGCAACTCGAAATGCAGTGTGAGATGCTCTAAAGCAGGATTTAATGATAGATGCTTGAAATATTGTGGAATATGCTGTGAGGATTGCCATTGTGTACCTTCCGGAACATCTGGGAATAAGGATGAGTGCCCTTGCTACAGAGACAAGACGAATTCCAAGGGAAAACCAAAGTGTCCTTGAAGCCTTGAAGGAATAGATTACAATTTATATCTCTTCATGCTTTCCAACTTCTTTCTAATTTTTTACAACAAAAGGGTTATAAAAGATGTTATTTGACATATTTTCCTTTTCAATTCGAGGACTAATCGACATGAAACTGTATGATCTAAAGTTTTTATAATACTTACCTTATGTATGGGCTTGATTTCTAAATAAAATGTCATGTACGTTGTTGAATACTTTTACTAACTAATGGTATTTATTATTAGCTAGCTACTTACGATGGCCACTTTGCTATTACGTAACTAAATGGAGTCGGTTTTATTTTTTATTTTTATTTTTTTAAAAAAATAATAAAGTAAGATACATGAAGTAGATTAGGAATGTCTTCTTATAAGTCAATGTCATAATCTGTATTGTCTTTAAATACGAAAATAAGAAAATTTTCTATGCACTAATGGATTTGTATCCTGGTTTGTTATAGCAGAATAGTCAAAGAGGCAACATTATAGCAGAATAGTCAAAGAGGCAACTTGATTTGTTGCCCAATTTCCTTCATGGTAGAAACGTGGGAATTGAAGGCGGAAAAAATTCTAAAATGGTCTAGATATCATCAATCAGTAGCAGCTAAAAGGAGCATCCACGTGCGGGCTGTTGTAGTGTCCTTGCAAAATATTACAAAAAGGATTGGTGTCCTTCGAACAAGTGTATTATTTCGATATATGGTTTAGAATTAATTACAGATCGAATTATTCAGTGACCCCAAGTGATCGAAATGCCTTGCTAGAGGATACATCCGATCAGTAAGATTAATATAATTAATCTCAGCTCATAGCTTGCTCTTGACTGAACCCAACGAGTCACACCCAATCGTGTAACCAAACTAAAGCGACGAATTAAGCCGAAAGACTTTAATACTTCGATAAATATATTTCGTACTCAGACGTCGAGTCGATTCTAGGAACCAACAAGACAAGAAAATAAGTTAAAAGATATGTCGCAGGTCAAACCATCTAGCCGTAGCCTTGTAGTGGCCTAGCAAGTCACTAGCCATGCGAAGGTTAGGTTAGCAAGGTTGTCAGCCGTAAGGCATGGCTTGGTCGCAAGCCCAGCACGCTATGCGTGCGCAGTGGCTGGGCATGCTGGCCGAGCATGCTAGCGGGATGGCATGCCAGCAGCATGGCTGCCAAGCGCCAGCACGCACAATATGCTGCTAGGCTGCCAGCCCAGCCAACATGTTAGCAACTCGTAGCAGCCTGCAAAGTGCAAAGCCTGCTTGCGAGCAGTCGCATCATGTGGCTTGCTACCAGGTGTGTTGAGGGTAGCCTGTCGTTGGCGATCTCATTTCCTCTGTGCCCTTATCCCTTTAAAAGCCTAGGACTTTACACTTTTTAGGGTGTATTAAGATTTGAATTTTTTTACTGTTTGGGAGACTTGGAATTAATATTGAGTCTATCATTACTTTTTTTTTATATAAGAAACCAAAAGAGTGTCGCCAATGAGTTTTAGGAAAGCTCATAAACCTGGAATTAGCATGAATCATAAGTTTACCCATGCCTAAATTGGTCTACTGAACCAGAAATGAGTTCGGGAGCGAGGGTACTAGAAAAAAGTTCTCCTTGAGAATAGCAATCCTAGCCCTAGTGCAACCTCTACTAGCTCTTCGTTTTTCACAATTTCATTGCCTAACAATATATGCAACGTGTAGACACCTAAAAATGTCTTCCCAAAACCAAACCCAATGATGAACAACTTTTCACTGCCGTTATTGGTCAGGTTGATTATTTAATCATTGGAATTGTTAAATCCATATTCAATCCAATACATTTTATAAATCAACCCAATTCTTAGCCCATTTCCCCAAACCATAACTTATATTCCTTTTTCCGTGTTCACACAAAACTGAGCTAAACTGATTTTTGGCCCACTAATTTTGATCAAAATTATTTGGTTGGATAGGCCTTGAAATAAGCTTTTGAAATGTATATCGTAAGCCCAATTCCGATTTAAAACGAAGAAGATATGAGCAAAACACTAAAACTCGGCCCAAAACCAACAACCTTGTACTAAAATGGCCATATATAAAAATGTAGAAAAGATTTTGACCTGGTTCTAATTGGGTTGGAAAGTAGACTTGAATTAAAAAACATTCCAAAGATATATTAGATGCCTTATTCCAATTTACGGATCAAAAGGTATCAAAGTTATAAAAATGCATAAAAATTGGTAATTATCGCGCCACGGTAAAAATACCATGTCACGGCAAACATTGCCGTGCTACGACATATATTGCCATCACACGACAATTATTTTGAGCTGCGACACTTTATTCTTCTGCGGCGCCTCATTCCTCACATTTCCTCTATAAATACGAGGTTGAAATCATAGTTTTAGGGCACCAACACACATTCTCATTTCTCTCTCTCACATTCTAAGCCATAAACATATTCTCCTAATTATTATTCTATCACTATTCCTTCCCTAAGCACTCCAAGGAGTCCATACAACACCCGAAGTTCCATTCTTAAACCAAGGCGCGAAAGGTAGAACTGATTGAGGGTTTGGACCAAATGAACTCCACTTTAATTTACTTTAATTTCAATTTGATTTATTATTATTTGAAGTTACTAACGTGTTTATTGTTTTATAGTTGCAAGCAAACATAATCAAACTAAGGAATCATGTTCCTTTTGTTCCTATTATATTTCTAACGATTTTTGTTATGTTTGTCATATATTAATCGTTATTACGGTTAAATAGCTTACAATGTTAATGTTTATTCTATTGTTTATTGTTGATCACTGTTGCATGTTTAAAGGGAATATGTAGTTGAATATAATGCTTAATAAGATAATTTGGGTGACCGGTTTAGGTTCCTTTTTAATCTTGTTGTTTAATCAAGTGATCACGATATTTAGAATTATATGTGTACATTAACATTTAACCAATTTAACTTAATATTAGTTTAGAGCAAATTGAATCTTTGTTTGTGTTCCTTTGAGATCGGAGGAAATACTTTTTACAATAAGAATCGGGTAGAGGCCAAGCCTTGTTGCCCAAGCATTAACCATTCAAGCTTGCATGTGATCGGTGGAGAGTTTTTCTTGGGGATCAAGGAGTGACTTGTGGTCCTCCTTATGGTCCTGACCTAACCTTTCTAATTGTTGGACAAGTGTTGCTTGACTATTTTTTCTAGCTGTTTAATTTATTTTAGAATTAAATTAAATGCTAGCTTTTCTCACTTTATGAAAAGTTCCACATTGATAGAATATCAAAGAGAAGGAGATGCCATGCCTATAATAGTTAAATACCCAAGCATTCGTTGGGAATTATTTGCAAGAGTTGAACTCGAAAAGCGCATCTCCATTGAGAAACCCTTGGAGTACCTCTTGTTAGTAATGTTGCGTATTAACCTAGCTAGCCGTTAATACCAACCAAGTTTCAGCGCGCGGGTGGACTTCGTTGGAGGAGCAGCAGGTGAGGTTCTCGCTTCGTTCTAGGTTCTTGCTTGAGTGACGTAGAATCATGCTTCAAGGGTATGATCGTCTTTTCCCTTCTCTCTCCCTCTCTCTCTCTCTCTTTTATGTGTTTATTGCTTTATTAATAATATGCATGTTTAGTTTCACTAGTAGAAAATAGGTGATGGGAAGCCACTAATTGGAAGCGGTTATTGGAATCCGCTTCCAATTCCATACAAAAACCCGGGATTAAAAAACAAAAAGAACAAGAGGAGAATTGAAAGTGGTTCGGTTTGAACCGCTTCTAAAAGGTAAGTAGAAGAGGTTCAAACCGCTTCCCTTTAAAAAAAAAAAAACCGGATTCCAATAATTTCCTTCGTTCCCTCCTTTTTTCCCTCCTTCATTTCTTTCGTGTTTGCTGCTTTCAATTGCACAGTACACCTCCTTCAACTAAATTCACTCCCTCCTTCACTTTCACCCACCATCACACAGCATCCCACACCACCATTGTCGTGCTTACCCACCACAACAACAACCTTGCTGCCTACTTTCACCACGACAACCGCTCGTTTCTTTCATTTAGTGTTGTTAGGAAAAGGGGTTGTTGCGCCTGCTTTTACCACCACAACCACCTTAGGGTGGTGCTGCTGCGTCCCTCTGCCTGCTGCCCTTGCTGCCTCCATTGCTACCATAGGGTCGTGCTGCTGCGTCGCTCTGCCTGCTACCCCTGCTGCGACCCTCTGCGTGCTCCTCCATATCACCTTCACACGCACCACCAAGCCACCACACCTCTCCCTCTTACCCCACATTCCATATTTTTGGGTGAGTTCATGATTAATTTAAATTCATTACTTACATGTTGTTAATAATTTCCCAAATTTTAGGGTTTCAATTTTAGTTAATCAAATTTTATGTTTATTAATATATGAATTATTTGTATACAAAATGTTAATTCTTACCTTAATTGTATAATGTTATAAGTTGTTTTAATTTGAGTAGCTAAAAAGTAATGAATTAATGAATGGATTAAAAGTAAGATTAGTTTGCTTGTAGGTAGTCCAAATAGCATTGTATGAATGAATGAACTTGTGTTTTGTTAAATGTCAAACAAATGGAAATTTTTGAATGCTTGCATCATCATTTGCCTAGATACCCGTTCAAGTCTTTCTCATTAGGAGGAAGACTTGAATAGTCCCCGGTTGGAACTGTTCTTGGACGTTTAATCTCACTTAGGTAGTGAATGTATGTCTCTTTTTCGATTTTAAGGAATATCTTCGTCTCCATGTTCTCCGGGTGCATATGTAGGTAATTATTTACCTACATTGTGTACTTGGAGAACTGGGGCGAAATGCTGCCGGATTTTCCTTAAAATTGGAAAGTTGACATACATTCACTAGTGAGATTAGACGTTCAAGGATGGGTTAGGTTGGAGTGATAAGGACCTTTTTGGGAGCATTCATTTTTACACTATATGCATGAACGATATCAATACAAACAATGTACTTTGATTATATGTTGCAATTTTACATTATTTATAATGTGTTATGAAGAAGTTAAACTGTCGTTCTGTTGCGGGTCCTAAGTGCAAATATGCAAAGGTAATGCCTTGAGTTAGTGATTTTTTTAATATACTTGGCTTCGGTAATGGCTACGCATGATAACAGTACCTTTGTGGCATGTCAGTGTGCGCAACAAAACAACGGACTTGATTGTGCCCTATACGTGATGAGGTTTATGCTTGACATAGTCAACAATTGCTCGGAAGCACAACAAGTAGATGAGGTATGCTTT